TAATAAAATTTCACAGGTGGTTGAGAGGATTAAATGAGATGATGCGTCTCATAATAAATGAGATAAATACTAACCATTTTTATCAGTGCCAAATTATAAGGTAGGTTCTCAGTTACTAAATTGTTTTTTATTTTAATTAGTTATACATGATAGTAGAATGTATTTTGAAATACATACATTGATTATAACTCCCCATTCTTCTGATCGTACATGATGTGGAATTACATTGGTCATGTATTCATATACGCTAATAGGAAAGTAATAACCTATTGTATTTTACAATTTTAACAAGTTACATTTCATTAAGTAGTTGAGTATTATTTCCTGGATGCCTTCTGTTATGTACATCTTGAACAATAAAACTCAAGGGTTTTTTTTTTCTTTAATTAAGTGAATCCAAATGAAAAATCCCTGCAGGAAATGGCTAAAAATTGGAAAAATAACTACTGAAGGTAGGATTGGGAAGTATTTGCAGTGCCCAGCTTTGGTTCTAAAATAAATCAAACTTCTCCTCAGCCACTCTTTCTGATACCAAGGTGAGTGATGATTCATACTAGGCAAGTAATAAAGAACACCAATTTAATTTATTTTGACACCAAGGATGGATTTGATAAAATTTTTGAATGGCTTCTCTCTGGAAAATGAAGGCAAAGAAAATGTTAGTACCTGACTAAAAACATTCACCTCTTCATGCCTCTTGCTCCTTTGCAAAGTGGTGTGATTAAACAACAACAAAAACAACAACAACAACAAAAAAAACACCTAGGTTTCATAGCCCAAAGATGTGGGTCTAAGCTTAAGGAAGGCAACTTACTGCTGACTACCCAGATGAATTTGGCCTCTTTGAGCCTACACATGTAGAAAAATACAGTAAAACACTGGAACTTGAACGTTATTTTTATGAGGCATTCTGATACGTAGAGGGGTTGTTTTCCATCTTTAAATTTGGTAGCACACGGGAAGTTTTCAATTCATCCTTGTGGAATATATGGCCTAAAGGGAAGAATGAATGAGTGGATGAATGAATAGAAAATAATATGAGCTTTGAAATAAGCAAGGCCTGGGTTCTAACCTTAGCCTTGTGGTCTCAACAGATTTTCTTTTCCCCTATAATATGAAATAAATAAATAAATGTGTGTGTGTGTGTGTGTGTGTGTGTGTGTGTGTGTGTGAATGTGTATAAAGTGCTGGCACAATGCCTCCTTTATTTCTGATCATTACCTAAAGAATTGGTATAGACTTTAACTAAATTAGATAAAATGGAGAATTCGAACATGGATTAATTTGTTCTAATACTTTATATTGGTGTAGACTTTCACGGTTTTAAAAGCTCTTCAAAACACTTTATATCATCTGATGCTACATATATTTTCAGACTGGCATTTTTACAGATGAGAAAAACACATCAGGGGTTGTGGCTTGTTCAAGTTCAATAACTAAAAAGTATGTGGTCAAGAACTACTTCCTGGAACTAATAATTCCTCCTCCAGTGTTCTTTCCAGCACAATAGTTGCCTGTGTCAGTCAAAGCTGGGTATTTTCGACATTTGTTGTGATTTGGATGTTAGCCACAAAGATTGTGTACTGGGTAAGGAGATGTGAACATTTTCAGATGGATCAGGCTTACCTAAGAAGATAATCATTATTATTACAATGATCATTATTAATACAATGAACACTCAAGTACATTAGTCATCTATTTCTTAGTTTTTAGCTTTATAGATATTTGAGCATCCATGTTGAAAGCGAGGGAATGAGGTGCTACACATATTACTTGGGAGTCCCCGTGTCTGATTTTCTCCTAAGACTGTACCTGTAATGTTTTAATTCTCCTTCTCATATGTTGATTCCTTCCTATCATTTTTTTCCTTTGAATATGTCACAGGGAACCATGTGTCCTATAGTCCCCCATACTCTTTCTTTACTTAACATTACCAACTGCTACAGTTTGAATCTTGGTTGTCCCCCTAAGGCCCAGGTGTTAAAGAATTGATTCCCCAAACTGTCTCCCTATTGGGAGGTGGTGGAAGACTTAGAGGGTAGGGCCTACTGGAAGGAAATTAGGTTATTGGGGATGTGCCCTTAAAGGGGAGATTAGAACCCTAGTCCTTATCTATCACTTTCTTTGCTTCCCAGATGCCACAAGGTAACCAGGCCTCCTCCATCATGATGTGCTATATTGTCACAGGCCCAAAGCAACAGAACTTTGGCCTGGACTAAAGTGACCATGGACTAAAACCTCTGAAACTATGAGCCAAACAAATCTTTTTTCCTTTTAAGCTGATTATCTCAGGTATTTTGTCACAGCAATAGAAGGTTAACACACACAGAAATCTCTCAAGTGGTTAAAACATCAGCCCAATGACCTATATTTCTGAGATATTCCAAGACCCACTCATTCCATGTTTTATCATATCAAGTTTAACGAGATGTATGTACTCCAAATATCCCTCAGGATTCTAGGGACAGAAAATTGAGGAATAATGATGATGAGTTTGTTTACTGTTATGGTTTAGATATGAGGTGTCCCCAAAAAGTTCATGTGTGAGATAATACAAAAAAGTTTAGAGGTGAAATGATTGGGTTATGAAAGCCTTAACCCAATCAGTATATTACTACCCTGATAGGGACCAACTGAGTGGTGACTGTAGGCAGGTAGGTGTGGATGAAGGAAGTGGGTCACTGGAGTGTGCCTTTGGGGTGTATGTTTTGTGAGCTTAGTCTCTCTCTGCTTCCTGATGTGATGTCCTGAGCAGCTTCCATCTGCCACATCCTTCGGCCATGATGTACTTCCTCACCACAAGCCCCAAGGAACGGAATCGGCCTTCTATGGACTGAGACCTCTAAAATGTAAACTCCAAAATCAACTTTTCCTCCTCTGTCAGGTCTTTTGTTCACAGCATCAAAAATTGACTAAAACATTCACTTTGTACAATTTAAAATGGAGCCCAAACATACACATATATTACCTACAGTCCAGGAAAAACTCTTCATAAAATGTTTTAGAAGTAAGGGTGAAAACTTTCCAGTTGGAATCACTCATGGGGGGACACTGGTGTTTCTGCATTTCTCAACTGGTTTTCTGTTTCTACCTCATTCTGTACATGTATATATATATATATATATATATATATATATATATATATATATATATTTTTTTTTTTTTTTTTTAAATAGATACCAACATGTATTGATTAAAGATCTCTTTGAGTTTTAAGATGGCATATGAAAATATTGAAATAAGTATCTTTCTACTATGAAATCCTAGTGTAGGATTTAATAGTTAAGAATATATGTCTAGTGGTGTAAAGAAGGGAAGCATGGGAGGAATATACAAACTCTGGATGGGGGATAGGGGTGGGAGGGCACGGAGGGGGCATGGGGTTAGAAATGATGGTGAATGTGATGATTATTATTATCCAAAGTACAGGTATGAAGACACGAATTGGTGTGAATATACTTTGTATACAATCAGAGATATGAAAAATTGTGCTCTATATGTGTAAAAAGAATTGTAATGCATTCCATTGTCATATAGGAATAAAAAATTAATTAAAAAACCTAAACAACAACAAAAAAGAATACATGTCATTTGCTTTTTATTAGAAGGATTCAGCTTGTGCAAATAATGAACTTATTAAGAAAAAAAAAAAGATAGCCAGCATGGTGGTCTATGCCAGTAATCCCAGCGTCTTGGGAGGCTGAGACAGGAAGATCGAGAGCTCAAAGCCAGACTCAGCAATAGCGAGGCACTAAGCAATTTAGTGAGACCCTGTCTCTAAATAAAATACAAAATAGGGCCAGGGATGTGGCTCAGTGGTCAAGTGCCCCTGGGTTCAATCCTCATTACCAAAAACAAACAAACAAAAAACCCACAGTTAATCTATTTCAAATATTCACCAGTTCATTATTTGAAAAGTTTAAGGCAGAACTATTTAAACTTTATTATATTCCTTTTTTATTTTCAAAAAAATTATGTGATTTTTTTTTTTTTTTTACAAACTGTTTGTCATGGTTTGGATCTAGAAATGCCTCCCCCCAACTTGTGTGATTGGTAATGTAGGAATGTTCTAAGGCAAAATGATCAGGTTATGAGAGCTATAAACTCATCCATAAATTAACCCACTTGATTAATAATTTGAAAGGACTACTGAGTGTTAACTGCAGGCAGGTGGGCATGGATGTAGAAATTAAGTCTCTGGAGGCATGGTCTGGACAATATGTGTCCCTGGACCCTTCTTTTCTTTGCTTCCTGGCTGCCATAAGTTGAGCAGCTTGCCCCGCCATGCCCTTTTCCATGATGTTCTGCCTCACCTCAGGCTCAGAGCAATGGAGTCAGCCATCCACACACTGAACCTCTCAAACCATGAGCCCCAAATAAACTTTTGCTTCCTCTTATTCTTGTTAGGTATTTTGTCCACAGAAAGCTGATTCTTTAGGTTTATATTTATTATGTCTGCTAAGTCTCAATTTAATTTATACATTTTGACCAGGTTTGTTTTAATTTATTGCAAAATCATTAATACCTTCAATGAAATAATGCCTTTAAAAGCAATAGCAGGCCAGGCATGGTGGCACATGCCTATAATCCCAGCAGCTCAGGAGGCTGAGGCAGGAAGACGGCAAATTCAAAGCCAGCCCCAGCAACTTAGCAAGGCCTTATCTCAAAATAAAAAATTAAAAGGACTGGGGATGTGGCTCAGGCTAAGCAGCCCTGGGTTCAATCCTGGTACCAAAAAAAAAAAAGAAAGAAAGAAAGAAAGAAAGAAAGAAGTAGCAGTCATTCTGCTTCTGCTTTCTTGTATAAATGAAAGTTTTCTGCACTGTTTTTACTATGTTAAAAATGAATATATTAAATCAATCTGTTCCCACATTTCAAATAAAGTTGTAAGTGCTCTTTGGAGAACAAATTAGTGGTTCAGCAATTCTTTGGAATGTGAAACCCAAGTGATTTCTCATCCGACTGTGAAACAAGGCAGAGACCAAAAGCATTTTATGTTCTTCATGATAATCTAGAATTTTATTTGATTCCAGGTAACTTTGGACAATAGACAGGATGAAATGTTTTCTCTTGAATAAATAACAGTTAAATTACATCAATGAAATAAAATATACTATGGGCTTAATACATTGTAAATATTACAGAAGTACTACTTTGCTATAGTTACTTAATGACTGAAGCTACATTTAATAACAATCTTACCATTACTTGTATACAAGGTATTATACAGATTACTAACGAAGATATTACAGCGGTTGCAAGGATATTACCAGTTCAACAAACATCTAACAATACAATATTCTTCTAAGAGGAAAAGTAATAATGTTAGATTTACAGACAATAAAGAGTTACATTTTCCACTTGAAACACTGGAAATAAGAATTCAGATAATCTGGTATCTTGATTCATACTATTACAAGAAAAAGTTTTCTTTCTTGGGGACTCTGATCCCCAGGAGGCCTAGTCCAGTAAGATTACATGAAGAGAGCTTTTAGGATGTCACAGCAATGTAAAGAAACTCTCCTATCTGAAAAGTACTGATTTGTAAGCCACTGCTTAAACATCTGACCCTTTAAAACCTATATACATACATTCAGCCCAGAGTCTTTTGTCTATATTACAATAGGCATTGTTAACACTTCATCAGAAGGCCAGTGCAAGACGATTGTGAACAGCCGTTGCCCAGCATTTCGGAGATTTTAAAATATCATACAAATATACAGTTAGAGTGTGAGAAATCTAATTTTGTGCATGATATTGGTGGTCTCTTTTACAGATGTGAAATGGCAAAAATTAATCAACAGAACCGTAACTAGAGTGCTACTCATCCGAGGGCCTGATTCTCATTTGGTGGTTGGGCCTCTTTCCTGCAAAGTTGGTTTAGGCAGCAAAAAATCCTGGACATTCAATACCAGACAGAACTGACTGAAAAGTGCCAGGGAAGTCTGGGAATCATCTCAATTGCAGGTATGTGACTGCAGCATCTCCCAGATCTAATTTCTTTTACATATATTTAATATGTAATGAAAAATTAGAGGTTCTTGGAGACAACCTGACTGTTCTAAATGAAACTGCTAGTCTAGGACTGAATCATCATTATTATGAAGAAATTGAGTGGGCTGGGAATTTGGCCCTTTCTGAAGACAAGTGATGACAGAATGCACGGTGAGGACAAATATGTCATCTTAGGGGGACAGTAGAGGACTCTGATGCCAGAGCTTATAAATACTTAAATTTAAACTGTATTTAAATTAATGGATATAATTAAGGGATCAGCTAATGAATGATACTAATGAATGGTAATTCTAATGAGTATATTCATTGGGGAGAACATCTTAGTCACTTGGGTTAGGAAATGATATGAGAAGTGTCAAAGTGAATCCAACTCATTTTAAACGTTTTTAAATGAAGGTAGTATAACACACACGTGATGATATTTCACAGATATTTCTTAAAATATCAATAAGCACCGAGTTTAGTGCTGTCAGCCCCATTGTCCCTTAATTTATTATATATGATTTAGGTCTTAAAAGCACAACATACTAAAAAATCTACATGGCATTCACACAAATACAGTTTCAAAAATGAATTCTGAATTTTTTATATCTATGATAAGAATTTCCTCTCCACCAGGTCTTCATAGCTGTGAGAAAAGAGTTGGTACTGCCTGGTGAGCTCTAAGACATGCAGATTAATATTTAGAGTGATCCAGGACAAAAGACTGGAAATTCTTAAATGGAAACTAGACTCTGGTGAATCCTTTTATGTCAATCATTTTCTTTCCTTCTAAAGAAATCTTAATCCTCCAGCACCCTGAGCCCTTGCTTCATTTCACACAGAGGTAAAGTGAGGGAGCCAACAGGCAGATTCTAGCTAAATCCTAGCTTGGTCCATGGGCCCCATTCCATCTTAGAACATAAACTGCAAGAAGTGGAACCACCCCACCAGGCTGCTGGGGTATCATGAGAGCTAGAAATAGACACTTCACTTTCATGCACTGCAGGCCTCATGTTCTCTAGGAGTCATGCTTTATCTGTATAAGGAGAGATTATAAGTAAGTAAAGTTTGTCAGGGTTAAGTGGCTTCTCAAGCAGTATCTTTCCTTACTGGAAAAGGGTTCAATTCTGAGCACCCATGGTACCAATAAGGAGTCTGAGATTGGGGCATCAGTAGAAAGCAAGCCAGCTTAGGCTTTAGCATATCTTGCCACCAGGAAGCAGAGGAAAAGGCTATTCCACAATGACTGACACAAAGCCAGGTGCCAGGCTAACACCAAGGACATCTGGGCAAAGCAGAGAAACAGCATCCATGGCCCAGGCCTCAGCCCCAGGTGTGGTGGCTCTTCACTGCCACTGTTGGATTCAGCCTCCCTAAGCCACATGACCTGGACCTGGCAGTGCTACTGTAGTGTGAGGTATACCATGCTGATGAAACTTGGGTCACACTACCTATACACAAACTAACGAACATTACTGTTTGGGGATTTTAGAACCATCTTACTTTTTAATGATCTATATCTCCATAACCTTGGTAAATATTAGGTGCTCAGAAACCCAAACACTCTCATTTCCCCCACAGTAATACTGTAAATACAAACCTTTACTTGGGAACCTGTCATTGATTACTTCTTGTTATGAACTGGTCTCACATAATATCTAAAGGTCAATTTATTAATTCAATCTCTCTCTCAAGGAGGAGAATTTTCTCTGAATGATTTTCTCAGAATTTTTATCAGAAGATTTCTGGAAGAACTCAATTTTAGAAACTGAATTCATGTGCAAGAGTACAGCAAGTGGTACAGTTTACACTTGGTCACAGTTGTCTCACTTTATGACACTGCTGTTAACAGTACAAGATAGAAACACACATATACACACATTTATATTCACATTCACACACAGTATAATTTTACTGATCCAGACAATACTTTGATTTTTAAAAAAAAAGACTATTATTTGACCACCCAGGGATGGAATCTACTTACACTTGGAATAGAAGAATGCAATACTCTTCAAGTAAACAGCAACTGCACAGAGATACAATATACATTAAGATTGACACATGCTGTCTTAAGAGGTTCAGTAATTAGCTAACGACTAAAGAAAGTCAGAGATGTCAGCCTAAAAAAAGTCAATATGCTTTCTCTCTTCCATTCTGATTATAATCCATTACCCAACAGAACATCTATGATCTAGAAGATAAGTGTCCTCTTATGAAAATGCAGGGCTAACCAATTTTTAAGTGTCAATGAATTCTGCTCAATACTTTGGACAGTCTTCAAATTCTTCTTGTTGTCTTAAGAGAAAAATAAACCTTTAGGTATCTCAGTGTCAAATTTAGATATTTCAAGAAATATTAAGGTTTCTAAAGTTAGATCATGGGCAATAATACTTTTGAAAAGTGGTCTCATTGGCATATATCCACTGCTGTGTTCCATTGTTCTCATAAAAGTCAACCTTTTGGTTTTGCTTAACTAGACAAATATACACAACACATAGGAAACACTGACACACAACTCACAGGACACAATACATTTTACAAAATATCTCTACTTTAGTGCTATAACTGTTGTAAAAATTGACACCTCTGATACTATGAACAAATACACGTCACATTTATAATGAAAGTTGTGGTTACAAAGGCATTACTCATCTGATGGCATTTTTCTATGGGTACTTTAGACTTAAAATCATGTAGCCAAAGGTTTCCCTCCTATTTCGTTGAGACTTTGAAGGGCCATTCAGTCACTTGAGCAACAGGCATTCTTCACTGTAAACCCCTGGAGAACAGAGTTTGAGTACTTAAACTATTGAAATGTCAACGAACTGATAAATGAGCATGGTGACAATCACCTTTTCACTGAGCATGGTAAACTTAAAAAAATATAACCAATGAGACGACAGACTCTTCTAGGTTTTGAGCTTAAAAAAAAAAAAAAAATGAATTTCTTTTCCTGTGTTGCCAGAGAGGCATCAGGCTCACAGAGCCTCGGCGGACGTGTCTGTGGACACAGACATGGTCACCTTGGCGATCTTGACCGTGCTCTTGATGCAGCTTTCTGCAGCCCTGTGAACACTGGCTGTGTTGTTTGCATGCTTGTGCAGGCAGTCCGAGTCCCCCATGCTGTTATCCAGAGGCTGCGCAGTGCCTTCACATGAGGGGAACATGCTCCGGAAAGCATGTCTCAGGTCCTTGCTCCTCAGAGCATAGATGATGGGGTTCACGGTGGAGTTCAGCAGGCAGAGCATACTGCAGAAGGCAAACACCGTCTTAATGAGCTTGTTCATCTTCCCGAAGACATCGTACACCATGATCGCGAGCAGAGGGCCCCAGCAGATGATCAAAACTACCAGGATCAGGACCAGGGTCTTGGCCAGTCTAATGTCCATGCGGGCTTGGTCCGGCCGGGTCACCTGTACCTTGCCATCCTCTGACGTGTGGATGATGATGCTTTTCTGAGTTCCACGTTGAATCATGCGGACTGCGTGGCTGTGAGCTTTCCAGAGAATATACATGTATGCATACACAATGAACAGCAGCAGCACGCTGGTGACCCCGATCCAGAACATCAGGTAGGTTTCATCAATCAGTGGGAAAATATCTGAGCAGACAGATTGCAGTTTCTTGCAGTTCCAACCCAGGAGAGGCAGCACAGCAATTACAATCGCGATGGTCCACATCAGGCAAAAGGCCACCACGGCTTTGGGCCTGGTGACGATTCTCTTATAGGCCAGGGGCCTGTGAATAGATATGTACCTGTCGATGGCCGTGAGGAACAGGCTGCCTACAGAGGCAGTGAAGGAGGCTGTGACCCCGCCCAGTTTGAAGAGAAACACGTTGGGGCTATCTTTGCGGTGGAACACGTGGAAGTCAACGAAGCTGTAGACGAAAATGACACTCCCCAGAAGGTCTGCCACTGCCAGGCTGCCAATGAAGTGATAGGAAGGCCTGCAGCGGAGGCTACGGGAGTGGAGGATGACACAGAGCACCAGCAGGTTCTCCAGAACCGTGAAGGTGCCCAGTGTGAGGGACAGCACGGCGATGGCCAGCTGTTGGCTGGGGTTCAGAATCATGAAGCACTCCATGTCCATGAAGTTCTCCCCACACTGGATATTCTCCTCATTCTCCTTGTAGGATGAGAGCGACTTGTTGTAGAATTCTGTAATGTTGTTTCCCGGGTCTACTGGGACTAACTGGGCGTTGTCTCCTGCAGTCATCTTTTCTTGGAAGGGACTGCCCCTAAAAGAAGTTAAAGGAAATTTCTGTGGGAAGTACCCTAATTTGGATGCCATGTCGCCTTTGATGTCTTCGTACTGGATGTCATTCGAGCCCACGTAGAGGAGGTCTGTGGTGATGGTGCGGAAGGTGGTATCTGCAAGGCCATCTAGGATCGACTTCATAACCTCAGCCTTCGATTAGGCCAGACTCAAAGTGACTGGGAAAGAGATCGCAGGAGGGGATCCTAACAAGAGGGAAAACAGATAAACTGAATGGTGAGAAAACCAGGAAGAAAAATAAAAACATCACACACACACGTGCCATCATGACGTGTCATTGTGTCTCTGAATACAGATCAAGTCCTTGTAGTTTCTGTCAACACAATGTGCCAGTCATTCAGGGGAGAGCCTCCCCCAAAGCTGGGGGTGGAGTGGCATACATCAGAAACATCTTTTATTTCTTAAGCTGTCTGGATTGGAGTCACTGCAGAAGTCCTGACTGGGCCTCCAGGATCAAGCAGGCCAAGGTAAATGAAATATTCCCTGGCTACAGTGTGCATTCCACAGGAAGTGTGTACCACTCAGCTTCTATGACCACATACACAGCACCCCATGCCAATGGGGCAGGGAGTTCACCCACAATTGTGCGTCTGGAACACTACCTTGTCAGATGGGTGGGAATAAATGTATAAGACAACCAAAGCAAAAAAAAAAAAAAATGCAGAATCAGGTGTTGAGTTGCAATCTGTGTGTTTCTGTAAAGGGAAAGGAGGGAAATGCTAAAACCAAGAGGCAGCTCCAGGCCATGGTGGGAAGATCTGCTCCACCAGGCAAGTTTCCTCCCCCAGAGAAGAGATGTTCTGGACTGAGCTGTAGCTGAGATGAACTTCTAAAATCTCTATAGCAGCCAAGAAGAATGTCACAATGCCTACTCTTGTACTGAAGCTGGTGGCAAACCAGACCTTGAACACCTGAGAAGGGTGAGGATGAAGCATGCCTCCTGAGAGCAATCACTGCAAGTGGTCTGCTGACACAAGAGTCACAGGGGACAGGAACCAGGCCTAGTGGAGTCCAAGACTTTCCAAGTAGAAAGCTCTGGAAATAAGGACAACTAAGAGGAGGGGGCCACATTTTAAGGGCTCTCCAGTTTTAAGTTAAATAAATTGGTGTTTCAAAATTAAGAGCTAGAGAACTGATCTCACCATTTATATAAATGCTTGTTTAAAAAATGGCTGTTCATCTCTCTAGTTTATGAAATCCATTATAAGTATAGCATGGTATCTATACTAATTGAAATTAAACTAAGAGCCAGTACTCTGCTTATTAATTGCTACTTGTTACTCCTAAACACAAAGCACTATGGAAACTAACTCTCAAGTGTCCTTAGGGTCCCTGACAGCCTTTATCTTGGAATAAATTTAAAAGTTCTAGGTCTTCCTGATAAAATAACCTCCTTATTAGAATTAATAATTTATTATTGTATTATCCATTCAACAAACTATGGAGCACCCACTATGTGCCATGCACTGGATTAGACACTAGTGTCTTGACAGCTCCAAGGAGCCCATGGGAAGTGTACTATCCAGCAGAGGAGATGGGCGGCTGCTCCAGTAATTAAGAGCAAGTGCAGTGTGAGCTACCCCTGGAGACTTCAGGATGCTGGGGAACATCCAATCCAGGGGGCTGAAGGTGGCTTCCCCAAGGAGAGAATGTTTATGCCAAGAATAGGTAGGAATAGTGTAGATGGGGAAAGGACATAGAATCAAAGAAAACATTTTAAAATTAATACCCTAAATGTCACAAATTTTAAAAAATAAAAAGTGATTTGGATTAGACATAAAGTGAGAAATATGGCCCACCTTCCCACAGTCTGCCTTCTCAAGTCCAGGCCACAATCAGTGTGTGCCAGAATTAGGGCACCTGCACTCCAATCAGTTTTCCTGTCTTTCTCTGATCCTAGTCTCTTTGATCATTGCCATGCAGCTATTGGCCTGATCTTTAGAAATCACATGGATAATTATGTGACTTCCCTGTTTCAACTTCTCTGCCAGGGATGAAGTCATTGCAATAAAAAGCTTCCTGTGATCTAGCCCTGCCTGTCTCCCTAGCCCTCCCCTCAGCACCCCTAACCTCACCATGTGAGCTGTACCAGATGGATTCCAGTTCCACAAACACATCAAATTGATTGCTTTTTAGCTCAATGCTCTGGTTCCTACTTATCCTAACACTCTTCTGCCCAAGCATTCTCTCTTTCTGCCTGTTCATCTCCCCCACATCAGTTTGGTGTCACTACTTCCCCTAGCTCCTTGCTTCCCATGTTCAGATAAAATACCCTCTTTGGGGTTCCCGAATAACCAAATAGAGTTCTGTCATAGCACTTACTAAATTTTTCAGTATTTCTGTGTTTGCATTTGCTCTGCTCCTTCCTCTAACTCACCAGAGAACAAGCTCATTGAGGACTTTGTTGGGGACATTACCTATTTTAGTATTTAACTCCCAACATTTAATATGCTGACTGGCACATAAAGGAGGCTCTAAATAAGTTGGTTGATTGGTGCTCTATTTGAATGCATTCAAATATAAATCTTGAATTTATTTATTTATTTATTTATTTATTTGGGCCCTAATCCTTGATGGGTAACATTTGTCACTACTCAGGAAATGAGATTTTTCCCTTAGTCTGGGCTGATATACACTCAAATCAAGGCAGTGACCCAGGAACAAAGGCTGGTTGCTGAAGCTATAGAGATATAGGATGCAGAAATAAGGCAAAACCGCAAATATATATTTGAATGCATTCAAATAGAGTAAAAAAAATGTTCTTTTCTATTCAAGATGGGAGAGGTATTCTTCCAATTGTGAAAAATAAATAAGCACATTATTTGAATCAAGGTTTCAAGCCCAAAGAGCCGCCTGATCCATTTGTGTTATAAAAATGCTATACTTAGGTGATGTTAACAGCATTCTAAATGATGCAGCCTATGTGATTACATAGTCTACATACTCAAGAAGGAGCTACATGACAGGCACTATGCGGGGGGCAAGGTAAACAAGAACACTGGCACTGTCCCACCAAATGGCAAACAAAGCAAGAGCCCCCAGCACTCATATGACAGGTAAGCCAAAGGGCTCCCTTCAGCCCTCCAAGACTGCCCAAGCACAGTATGGAGGCAACTGACAAACCAAGGGCCCTAATCCTCCATGGGTAACTTTTGTCACTAGTCAGGAAAATTAGATTTTCCCCTTAATCTGGGCTTTCAAGCCAGTTCTGCACACTGTTCTGCACTGACATAGAACAAGGCACTTGGGAACAGTCAGCTGCTTTTCCAGAGACAGGAGTTCCAGGATACAAACAACACAGAGGCACCTAATGTAGTTAGGGTGCTAAGCCCACCCAAAATCAGGGCAGTGGCCTAGGAGCAAAGGCTGGTTGCTGAAGCTACAGAAATACAGGATGCAGAAATAAGGCCAAATCCCAACAGTCAACCTGGTTGTCCAGAGCTTTATGGTTCTTTTACCTAAAGACTCTCCTGAGCTCCAACCTCAGCCTGGATCCAATTAAGTCTCAGTGTCCTTAGGGTCCCTGTCATCTCCTTTCTCACCTCTTCATCTCTTCAAGAACATGTCCTATGTGTGCCACCATTGGGCTGTTTCTCAGGAGTCAACTCATGCTATTTGCAAACTTGTTTGCTAAACTATTCCACTCACACGTGAAAGCTTTCGTCCATAATCAAGGAGACCCAGAAGATAGTCATGGTGTATGACAGCTGTTCCTTACATGGTCACACAAAAACATCTTGAGCTCACACAAAAACATACAATTTCCTGGTCCTGGAAGATGACATTCTGCTCTCTGAATAGACCATCACACCTGCCACCTTCCTTCTTCCTCTTCCCTTCCCTCTGCCTGAACACTCATTTCCAAGATCCTTGCCTATTAAATTGATCTTGTAATGATTGCACCAAATTGTGCCAATGCTACTTCATGTCTGAGACTTTCTTGACCAGCCCTTGCCATCAGGCATAACTTGAACCCCTAGTTTATCCCTCTGCCATAGGCCTCTTCATTTAAATGTGTATTTACATATTTATTTTCATAACTAAAATTCAGTTCCAAACACAGAATGTTGTCTTTTTACCTTTAGGTGATTTACCAGCCTGAGAGCAGGAGGAGAGAGCAGGGCACCCATGGAAATGCTCACCAGAACCTAGTAAGATGGCAGTTGATTGGACATTTAAAACAGTGATTTAATACTATTTCTTTGCCTTTCTTAAAATTTGAGAATAGGAAGATAACTCAATGGACATTTGGCCTAAAAAGCAAAACTGGAGCTTACATTTCCAAATAGTTTCTGGGCACATAGTCCATGGCCTCTGTCCTTAAGACATTTTCCCTCAAGTGACAAACTCCCCAATACTTTCACTTAAAATCTAATTTTAAAATTTATATGTATATATACAAAATATGTATGTGTATGTATATATATGACTTACCAGATTCAAATTCAAAAGTTACAGAAAAAATACTCAGTGAAAAGTCAATTCTTTTTACCATACACATTCAAGATATATATATATATATATATATATATATATATATATATATATATATATATACCCTCTATACTCCCTTTTAAGAAAATAGTAACATACTACACATACTGTTTCAAACCTTGCTCTTCATTGAAGGCATATTAAATCTGGGAAGGTGGGGTATGGTGGTGCACACCTGTAACCCCAGCTACTCAAGAGGCTGAGGCAGGAGGATCACAAGTTTGAGGCCAGCCTGGGTAGCTTAGTAAGACTCTGTCTCAAAATAAAATGGGCTGGGGGTATAGTAAAGGAAAAAAAGTATGCATTGAGATAGTTCACATTAACAAATAAAACCTCCCTTTTGATTTAACACCTGCTCTATTAAGGTCTGTTAGATGAATGTGCCTCACCTCCTACAAAAGGGATGTTTTGGATATTTGTCATCTTTTGTTAATACAAATAATGCTGCAACATTTTCATTTTTCACATTTCTTTTGGTATTGCAAGTAATCTTTCTACTACCTAAACTCTTACCTTGGACTTACTGTAAAACCTCCTCCTCCCTCTCTTCAACAGTCAGGTACATCACTTAACTCTTGCTGATTTCCCCCCTTTGTTCACATAAAGGGGGCTTATTACAGGCAGGTGGCACTCTGAGCCTTTTATATATCAACTCACTTATTCATGGCCCTATAAGGTAGATGCTGTTATT